CCAGCCGCCAAGGGGGCAGGGCTCCCCCCGGCCACACTGCACCCCCCGTCCCCAGCCGCCAAGGGGAACTGCCTCATCTTCAGCAGCAGACACGCCAGAGCGCCCCCCCCACCAAGCAGCCAGGGCTCCCCGCGCACCATGCCCCCAGCAGCCCGCACAGAGCCCCGGGAACCCCCGCAGCCCGTGCGCCCCGGCCGGCGCTGCCCCCTCCGCTGGCGACTCACCCAGCAGCAGCAGCAAGGAGCCCAGCGCGCCCCGGGGCAGCGGCTCCCTCACGGCTCCCATGGTGGCGAGCGCCGGCCAGGGGCTAGGAGCCTTCGCCGGGGTCGCGCCGCCCGAGGCAAGGCAGCCCGCGGCCCCGTGCGCCGGCTCGGCTCCGTTCGGCCTCCCTCGGCCCCGCCCGATTGCAGCGGGCGCGCAGCGCGGCTCGCCGAGCTCCGGATCGATCCCCCGGCCCGGCCGCCGCCGCCTGTGCGCCGCCACGTCCCGCGCCTGGGCTCGGAGCTACAGTCGGGGCGGGAAAGCCCCCCCTCAATTTCCTGCGTCTCCGATGCGGCCTCCCCGTGGGAGGGGTGGGGGTTACATTTAGCGCTGAGCGTCCCTGTGCAGCTGTTGTACGTGTCCCACCCCCCAGAGGTGGCTGCATGTCAGTGCTGGGTGGTAAGGGGTCCCTGTGGAGCATTACTGCCTGGCTGCTAAACAGCTGCCTTGTTTCACCCCAGAGGTGGCTGCCTTTGGGTGCTGGCTGAGGAATCCTTGGCCCTTTTCACAGTGCTGCCCGCAGGGTGTGGGGGAGCTGCCCTCTGCAGGACAGAGCGTCCCTGGAAGGAGAGGAAATCTGGAGACTTCCCCACCCTCTCGTAAAATAAGATGCCTTAAACTCTGAGAGTGGGGTCTAGGGAGTCAGGACTCCTGGGTTCTATCCCTAGCTCAGGGAGGGGACTGGGGCCTAGTGATTAGCTCACAATCCTGCCTGTGGATCAGAACTCCTGGGTTCTGTTCCCAGCTGTGTCACTGACTTGCTGTGTGACCCTGTGTGACTCCTGTCCCTGCTCTGTGCCTCAGTTTCCCCTATGTATAATGCAGATGGCCCTGACCTACCTTGCAGGACTGGAGGCAGCTGGGATTGTTGGGAGCGTTAATTCCATCATCTGGCTGTGGAGTGAGACTTTCCTATAGCACGGGGGTTCTCAAACTGGGGATCAGGACCCCTCAGGGGGTCATAAGGTTATTACATGGGGGGGTCGCAAGCTGTCAGCCTCCACCCCAAACCCCGCTTTGCATCCAGCATTTATAATGGTGTTAAATATATAAAAAAGTGCTTTTAATTTATAAGGGGGGTTGCACTTTAGAGGTTTGCTGTGTGAAAGGGGTCACCAGTACTGTACAAAAGTTTGAGAACAACTGCTATAGCAGTTCAGGAGAAGGTGAAGGACCATTATTGTTAGGGCAGGAGTCACCAGGTGGCGCTGTTGCACCCAGTCATACAAGGTCTGTTTGGTCTCAAGGGAGCAGTGTCAGTCTTTGCTGAAGTGCTGCGTTGTTGTCACTTTGGGGGGGATGCGGTTGCTTTTGGGGGAGCTGTTGCAAGCTGTTTGCACCCTGCTGGAATCTCTTGAAGGAGAGTCAGTTCTTGGGCAGAGCTGCCCCCTGGGAACCGGGTATAGGTGTGTGGGCTGAGATGTCTGAGAGGGGAGCGTTGCCTGCCTGCTGTCTGGGATGCCACTGTTCCAGGACTGGTGCATATAGTGTAAATAAACAAGTGGCGCTAAGAATACACAGGGGCTCCATGTCACAGGTTTCTCCTCCAACGGGAAACGGACCTGCTAGGCCCCAAAATCTGCTACTGTGTGGCAGGGGGTGACAACATTAACCCTACTGCCCCTCCTATCATACAATGGTCTTCTGAACACAGGACTCATCTAGCTGCTTTTCAAACTCAGCTCAGCTGTATTGTTGGGAAACTCCCCCCAGAAGCCAAGAACACCCCCCCCCCCCCCCCAGACACACACGCACTCACCTTTGGGCATGGACTAAGCCCTGGATCTGAGTGGGGAGACATGCAGGACCAACTTGGGGCTATGTAGCTTGGGCCCAGGCCTGCTGTGAAGGTGTTTGATGCTGACTCCTTACCACCGTGCCTGTGCCCGCCGGGAACTCGGGCTGTGAGAAATCCTTCTCCCTGGGATCTGGTAAGAATCTGCCTGAATCTCATGCCCCAATCCTCATGCCCGGCTCAGGGGAGTTTCCAGAGTCCATGGACGCGATTGTTCCTCTTCACCCTGCTCCTGAGGGGACCTGATGCGGGGGGAAGGGACCCAGAATCCAACCACCCAGCTCATAGAGCGCTGTGCTAGGCCCGTTGGTGATCAGCACAGAGCAGCTGGGATGCTACCCTGAAAGGCGCATTGAGGGTTCCCCACCTGGCCCCGACACAGGGTGGCACCAAACTGGCTTTACCTCTCCTGCCACCCTCACCTCGGCAAAGGGGGCAAGATCCCATTTCCCTGTGAGATCCCTGGTCGCTGCTGCAGCAGGCAGTGAGAGTTACAGCAGCCTTAACTCTGCTCTAAGTTACCCCAGGGCCAGTTCAGAGCCCAGGAGCAGAGAGCCACCAGGCCCCTGCTAACCAGGCATCAGCTGAGGATCGAGACCACATCCAGTCCACTTGGGTGTCTCAGGGAACCTGATTCCCCGTCCTCTGCCCCTTGTGTGTCATTCACAGCAGAGCAGGTGTGAACCCCTCCTGGGTGCGCTGCACTCCCCTTTGCACGAAGGCAAATGGCTGCACAAGCAGCAGGAGACAAAAACCGGGCCTTGTGGGTTCAAATGACAGGATAAAAGGTTCATGAACTTGAACTAAGGATCCAGCCCTCTCCCTCCAGAGAAATAGTTCAGGATCCACCCCCACCCCCGACTGCCCGCTGCTACCACCAGCTGCTGCACTGCTGGGGGTTGTTTGTAGAAGCAATTATCTGCAGCCGGGCCTGTCCTGGTCAATATTTCCTGCTCAGCTTGTTGGATGCTATTGATCCAGCCCCGGTCGATGCAGATTAATCTCCCCAGCGCCTCCCCAGAGGAAACCGCAGACGAGCTGTCAAAGCAGCCACGTACTAATGGATTCTCAGAGTCCTGGAGCAACAGGTGTTGGCCCCCAGCAGTGCAGAGTTGGAATGGCCTGCGGGCAGAGCCAAGGGACCGGACTGCGCTGTGGTGAGGCTAGCAGTGAATGGAGGCCGAACCCCCTTGGCTGAGGCCTCACAGGGAGTTGGTATCCAAGGGCAAGCCATGGAGAGAAGGTCTGATGGGGCAGGGAGGTGCTGTGAGGAGGTGTCAAAAACCCTAATATACCCCAAGGCTGAGAGCAAGAGAGAGTCACTGACTGCAGAGGGATAGAGGAGTGTGGGGTGACATTCTGCAGATGGAAGGACAGGCAGCTGGAGAGCTGTGGATGTTGGTAAATACACCTCTACCCTGATATAACGCTGTCCTCAGGAGCCAAAAAATCTTACCGCGTTATAGGGAAACCGCGTTACATCAAACTTGCTTTGATCTGCCGGAGCGCGCAGCCCCGCCTCCCTGGAGCGCTGCTTTACCGCGTTATATCCGAATTCGTGTTATATCGGGTCACGTTATATCGGGGTAGAGGTGTAGATGGGGGTAGGCACGGCATTGGATGGATGGATAGGTAGATACATGAGTGTGTATGGTGGTGGATGGATAGATGTGTGTAGAGTGGTGGATGGATGGAGGAGTGTGGATGGTGGATGGAGGGGTGTGGATGGTGGGTGCATAGACGTTTGTGGTGGTGGATGAAGGGGTGTGGATGGGGGTGGAGAGATGTGTGTGGTGGTGGATGGATGGAGGTGTGTGGATGGTGGATGGAGGGGTGTGGATGGGGCTGGATAGATGTGTGTGGTGGTGGATGGATGGAGGTGTGTGGATGGTGGATGGAGGGGTGTGGATGGGGCTGGATAGATGTGTGTGGTGGTGGATGGAGGCATGTGGATAGACATGTGTGGTGGATGGAGGGGTGTGATGGTGGGTGGATACACGTGTGTGGTGGTGGATGGAGGGGTGTGGGTGGTGGGGGGATAGATGTGTAGTGGTGAATACAGGGGTATGATGGTGGGTAGATGGACGTGTGTGGTGGTGGATGGAGGAGTATAATGGGGGTTGACAGATGTGTGATGGTGGATGGACGGATGTGATGGGGTCGACAGACATGTGGTGGTGGATGGAGGAGTGTGGATGGGGGTGGATAGACGTGTGTGGTGGTGGATGGAGGGGTTTGAATGGTGGGTAGAGGCATGTGGATAGATGTGTGTGGTGGATGGAGGGGTGTGGATAGACGTGTGTGGTAGTGGATGGAGGGTAGATAGACGTGTGAGGTGGTGGAGGGTGGGTGGATAGACGTATGTGGTGGTGGATGGTGGGGGGATAGACGTGTGGTGGTGAATACAGGGGTATGATGGTGTTGTGGTGGATGGAGGAGTGTGGATGGGGTGTGGATAGAAGTGTGTGGCAGTGGATGGAGGGGTGTGGATGGTGGGTAGATAAAGGCGTGAGGTGGTGGATGGTGGGTGGATAGACGTGTGTGCTGGTGAATGGTGGGGGGATAGATGTGTGCTGGTGAATTGGGGTGTGTGGATGGTGGGTGGATAGAAGTGTGTGGTAGTAGATGGAGGGGTGTGATGGTGGGTGGATAGACGTGTATGGTGGTGGATGGAGGGGTATAATGGTGGGTGGATAGACATGTGTGGTAGATGGAGGGGTGTGGATGGTGGGTGGATAGACGTGTGTGGTGGTGGATGGAGGGGAGTGGCTGGGGGGTGGATAGATGTGTGTGGTGGTGGATGGAGGGGAGTGGTTGGGGGTGGATAGACGTGTGTGGTGGTGGATGGAGGGGGTGTGGATGGTGGGTGGATAGACGTGTGTGGTGGTGGATGGAGAGGTGTGGCCGGGGGGTGGATAGACGTGTGTGGTGGTGGATGGAGGGGAGTGGCTGTGGGGTGGATAGATGTGTGTGGTGGTGGATGGAGGGG